ATGAGAATCTGCACGGCGGCTCCGATGTGACGATACATGCGCGTGGTATGTGTGCAACGAGTTTAGTATATATATTTAATTAATTAAATGTTGTCTGGCAGGTGCCATGTCCTATCTGTTCCATGGTGTGCACGAGCAAAGCTACGTGGCGCACGTCATCTCGTATGCACTGAGAATTGGACGCTTCCGTGATAGCACAATCGCCGAATCCTTGGCGGAGCTGATGCCTTTATAGATTTAGACATAGCATAATATAGCTTTTTTTTTCTCTTAAATTATATATTGTGATAAGTTGTTTTTGTTTTCTAGTGTTAGGCGCAAATAAAATGATATGATTGTTAAAAAATACAAATTTGCGCGTTATTTCTGACAGAGCTGCCACATCGCAAAGCGCATGTCAGGCGGTCTGGTAGCGCACACATTTAGTATTTAAAAAAGAATAGTATGGATTGGAAGCAAAGAAAATAGTATTTTTTTTAAATCTTTCAGTATCCTGGGCTTAGCCAAGTTCTAAAGTATCGATGCCATTGACCATCGCCACCTTAGCCATATATCGATATGGCAAAGCATATCGATGTTTTGAACCATCCCTGTAAAGCAAAAAGTTGGGAGTTCGTTCATACAAGCTGCAATTATATACAAAAAGAATACGCATCGATTTCCATAAACAATTAAATATTAGCCGCGTTTTCACCGACGGTTGGTGTTGAGTTATTATTTTTTTTTTCGTTTTGAGTTGCAGTGGTGATCAATTTTTCGACATTCATTATTGTTAACGTATTTGGCTATTGCGTTTGTGGGACGACCGCAAAGATATACAAAAAAAAAAAATTAAAATTTAAATAGTTTATTGATTAATAGCCGGGCCAGTTAGTGCCAGTGAAAACAACGAATTCCAGCAAACATGGCGTTAAAAGTTTTGGTCGGCCAGAGTAAGTGCAATGACAAACATTCCAATACGATTTAATTTAACTGCTGCTATTCTGACTAACACACACACACACACGCACACATGGGGAGACACACGCACACAAGTACAGCCCATAGGCAAGGTTGTGATAAAAATGACGCCCCACTAAACACACACACGCACACATTTATTTATTTATTTATGTACGAACCAGTTTAATTGGCAACCACTGATATGCAAAACATTTTGCATTTACATATTCTTATCAAACGAGCAGCTCCAAGCACCGCAGCATTCATCGATTTTTCCAAACACACACACACGCACACACACACACACACCCACAACAATTACGGCACCCACACACAACACCCACTGGCAATGCCCACGCGCAACGCTCTTCAGGCGTGAATGCTTATGCGGGGGTTGCGGTGACCTTTGCCGCAGGATAAGCATTTCCAATGTGGCCTCCCCCCTGCCCGTGCCCGTGTCCCAGCAACTTCAACTAAACGGTTGAGCGTCGTCTTGCCTTTTGCTTGATTGCAGCTATCTGGCAGCGCTTCGCTATGCAAATGGGAATTGCTATAAATATTCGCTGATTGAAGAGTCAAACGGGTATAAAATCAATCAGGCAACGCCATTCGCTAAGTGGCTTATTTCATGCACTTTTTCTCACGTTCTTCTTCTTCTTCTTCATGTTGTTGTCGTTGTTATTGTTGTTATTATAATTCTTGCTGCTTGTTTGTATTATTGTTGTTTTTTTTTAGCTGGCGCTGACTCATCAGGCTTATGAGTAATACTCTTGCCTTTGCCTCCAGCCAACAATTTACACTATAAATATGATAAAGCGTTAATTCCACATAACTACGCAACAGTGCTGCCCATTTTTGAAAGGCAACAGAAAAAAGCTAACTAGGGCAGGAAGAGGATTAAAAACGGCCAAAGCTAATTTGTAAATGCTAAAAAAAATGTTTAGTTTTTCAAACTATTTAACGCAAATGCTTTTATATAATAATATTGTGGCATGCTTTAAGCCCTTAAACCTTGCGGCTTAGCCGAGTAGATTTCCGTCAATAATTTTTTCTTTTCCATATGGAAGTTATATGCTAAAATGGTTGATAAACATATTAATGTGTGGGAAGGGGAAGCAGGTATTTAAATGATTCGCCTCGCATCTAAGTCGCCTTTGGAGGCGCCTCTCTCTTACCAAGGATAATCAGGGTAGCTGAAAGATTAGCTTGCATAAAAGCAGACAGACGCATATGATTACATCGAACCGATTGCTTGAGATACTCTTTAAGAATATATATATATGATATTGTAGATGTATCCTTTGAAGATTCTTTGACAACATTTCAATATCCTATACAAAACTATAACGGGCAATCAATAAAATGGGTAACACTGCCAAAACAGACACACACACCCACACAGTTGTATATAATATTCATGCGCTTGCCTTCTCGTTTTTTATAGAGATCATGAACGAGGTGGTGAAGTACAAGCCGCCGCCACCGAAGAAAGCGGGCGCTGCAGCTGCTCCAAAGGCGGCCGGCGCAGGTGGGATCGAGTGGCGTGTGCTGGTGGTGGATAAGCTGGGCATGCGCATGGTCTCCGCCTGCACCAAGATGCACGAGATTAGCGCCGAGGGCATAACATGTAAGTGCCAATAAGCAATAGACACACATTTTTTTTGTAAACATTTCGAATAACATCTTCCAGTGGTGGAGGATATTCACAAGAAGCGCGAGCCGCTGCCCACAATGGATGCCATCTACTTGATAACGCCATCGGATGAGTCTGTGCGCTCCCTGATACGCGACTTTGAGAATCCGGCGCGTCCCATGTACCGTTACGCGCACGTCTTCTTCACCGAGGGTATGTGCTAGCCGGACAGGCTTTTAATTAACCGATATCTAAATCTATATATAATATATGTATATCAATTATTTAGTACTTGATGCGCGTGACTATATGTCTATATGGTTACCCAGATTATTATTTATGATTTTATTGTTCATAATTTCCATTTAATTTCTATATCGATTTATTTATAATTTTTCCATGAATCCCGTACCTCACACCTGCACCTGCATACGTATGCCTACTGTTGGTATATGCTGCTCTGATATATAATTATAATATAAATATGTAGCGATACCGCCTCGCATATTCGAAATGCTGCAATCGCACAAAGACATTTGTCGACGCTATGTGCGCACCTGCAAAGAGATCAATATTGCCTTTTTGGCCTATGAAGCACAGGTATATTGAGGAGAAAAGAAAAAAACTAAAAAAAAAAAATAAAACACTTCTAACTCGCCATTTTACACACTCGTTACTCGTGACTTGCTACTCGCTACTCGTTCGAGTGTCTCGCTACTCGCTACTCGTTACTCGCTACTTACTACTAATCACCCTGTGCTGTGGATCGTGCGTTCCGATGCGATTTGTCTCAAAGCGTTTGCTTTCACAACTAACCTCAACTGGTTGCAACATGAACTTGAACTGGAAAACAACAATTTATCATATCTGAATGCTTAATCATTTTGTTACATGTCCTTTAAATGCCTTTTGGTTTTGTCCACATTTGCTTTACTTTCCATTTTCTGGCCTTATTTAATCCGCTTAATCCGTAACCTTCAATAAGTTTACTTTTTCAGCGCCCAGATACAAAACGTTTGGGCATCGAGTCCTATCGAGTCCAAATATATATTGAATAGATGAAATAACCAATTGCCTCGCACATACATGCTCACATGCATTACAATTACATAATAATACCATTTTATACTATATACTATATACATATTTTGTAGCTTAAAAATAGAAAAACCAAAAGAAAAAACGAAAAACGAGAGCAACATTTGATGTGCGTATAATTATAATTATAGTTTGCCCGGAGGAATTATTTAACGATTTGTGTAAATCGTGCGCTGCAAGAAAGATCAAAACTCTAAAGGAGATTAATATTGCATTTCTACCATATGAATGCCAGGTGCGCTAAACAAAAACAAAAACCAAAAAAAAAAAAAAAAAAAAACTCTGTAACATAGACAAAGCAAATATCCTTTCCATAAACAGACATTTGTATAGTGCAAGAGCGTTTTATTTAAGTCCAAACCCGAATCCAAGCCAAGTCTTAGTTTATCTAAGTAAAAACTCTCTCTCTCTCTCTCTCTCTCACTCTCTCACTCTCTTTACCGCTCTATTGCCTTCTCTCTCTATCTCTCTCGCTCTGTTCTCTGTTATTAACTGTTATTTTCATGTTCCATTTATTTGGAAACATTTTGGAACACTCTTTAAAAGTGTTGTTCAATGCTCAATAGCCTAAATAACTGTATCCCCTACACACACGCACACACACACACTAACACACACACACGTTCGCTGTCTCTGTCTAATTCTATCACTGTCTATGTGTATATATATATATCAATATGTATATGTACTATATGTGTTGTACTTGTTGTTGTAAATACTGATACAATACTAAGTAATCGTGTCTCTAGGCTCTAGCGCTTGGGCTTAACCATAAAGTAACTTTCCAATACTGGCAAGCCAAGCCGTGGGCCTGTCTGACACATTTCCGAGCGTTAACTGTGGCGAACGCCTCCAATCTCGAATCTCCTTAAGTTTTGTTAAACTTGTTTTGTAGTGTTCAATTTAATGTATGTGAATTGTATACAGAAAAGCAAATCGTGCCTAACCAAACACTAACACATGCGATCATTGTGTATATCAATTATTAAAGCATATCAATTTGATCATAACATAACAAATAATAATAATAATAATAACAAGCAAAACGAAAGTATTCCATAAGAAAACGCTACTCGCTGAACCAGACACAATGTGACCAGGCACGTTTAAGCAGCACTCGTTCGTTTTGCTGCTTACTCGTTATTCGTCACGTTGTGATGCGGCGAGTACAACTCCAGGGCTTTAAAGTAACACACAATTAACACAGTAACAAAAAAAAAAAAAAAAGCATTAAATGACTGCATAACCTATAAATGTAACTATTTGTGAATTGGTTGCGTGCTCTCTCGCCACTGTCTATGTAAATATGTATTTCATTAGCTCTTAAGTTCACACACACACACACTCACACAACGCTCTCTCTATCTCTCTCTCTCTCGCACAGACGCGCTCTCATTCGTCTAATGTTCTGCATGACGAGCGCTGCATGTCGCTCTCTTTCGCTTTAATGTGTAACTGTGCTTAACCAGAGTACAGCAAGCAAATGTTGATTTACGATTATTTATCGAGTATTTGATTTTATTTCGATAGACAAAAAGCAATGCAAAGTAATTATAAAATGACTAAGCATTTCGAATTATTGACTGAAGCAGATCTTTAGCATTTTTTCTTGCCTGCTAAAAGCGATTACTGAATAAAAAGAAACCTATCGATTAATCGTTTGTCGCCGATATGAAGCAGTGTTGCAAAAGGCTTGAAAGTGTGCGTTTCTTTCAACATTTGCTTGCTGTACTGTTAAAACTCTCTATCACTCTCACTCTCACCCACACACACATATACGTAGTTAGCCTCACGTTCACACACTCGATAACATTCGATAACATTTGAAATGGACTAGCACGCCAATTAATAGTGAAATCCCTCTCGTCGTTGGTCCCTTGTTGCGTTCGCCGCAGGTCTTTTCGCTGGATTCGCCGGACACGTTCCAATGCCTCTACTCGCCGGCATTCGCCTCGATACGCGGCAAGCACATCGAGCGCATTGCCGAGCAGATCGCAACGCTGTGCGCCACGCTGGGCGAGTATCCGAACGTGCGCTATCGCAGCGACTGGGATCGCAACATTGATCTGGCCGCCTCGGTGCAGCAGAAGCTGGATGCCTACAAGGCCGATGAGCCGACCATGGGCGAGGGCCCGGAGAAGGCCCGATCGCAGCTGTTGATTCTGGATCGCGGCTTCGATTGCGTGTCGCCGTTGCTGCACGAGCTAACGCTCCAGGCGATGGCCTATGATCTGTTGCCCATTGTGAACGATGTGTACCGTTATACGCCCGGGCCCAACCAGCCGGACAAGGAGGTGCTGCTGGACGAGAACGACGACCTGTGGGTGGAGCTGCGTCACGAGCACATTGCCGTTGTCTCCACACAGGTCACACAGAACCTCAAGAAGTTTACCGATTCCAAGCGCATGAGTTCCGGTATGTTGACTTCTAGCACAGCCACAGGCACAGCTAATAAGGCGTTCCCTCTCATAGCTGACAAGTCGTCGATGCGCGATCTGTCGCAGATGATCAAGAAGATGCCGCAGTATCAGAAGGAGCTGTCCAAGTATTCCACCCATTTGCATCTGGCCGAGGACTGCATGAAATCGTATCAGAACTATGTGGACAAGCTGTGCCGCGTCGAACAGGATCTGGCCATGGGCACGGATGCCGAGGGCGAGAAAATCAAGGATCATATGCGCAACATTGTGCCCATTTTGCTAGATGCGGTAGGCCACAAAACCAAAAAACCAAAAATAATTAATTCCACAGTCAAGACTAATTAGCCGAGGATTCCGTTTTCAGAATGTGTCCAACTACGATAAGGTGCGCATCATTTCGCTCTATGTGATGATCAAGAACGGCATCTCCGAGGAGAACCTGACCAAGCTGTTTACACACGCACAGCTGTCCACCAAGGATCAGGATATGGTGCGCAATCTCAGCTATCTGGGCATCAATGTCATTGCCGATGTGAGTATGGCCAGGGTTAATGCAGGCGGCCGATTTTCCAACTAATTTTTATGCCATTTCAATTGCAGTCACGTAAGAAGATCTACTCGGTGCCGCGCAAGGAGCGCATCACCGAGAGCACCTATCAGATGTCGCGCTGGACGCCCGTTATCAAGGACATCATGGAGGATTGCATCGAGGATAAGTTGGATCAGCGCCATTTCCCGTTCCTCGAGGGACGCGCCCAGAATACCAATTACCATGCACCGACTAGCGCACGCTATGGCCACTGGCACAAGGATAAGGCACAGACGCAGGTTAAGAATGTGCCACGCCTCATCATCTTCATAGTGGGCGGCGTGAGCATGTCGGAAATGCGCTGCGCCTACGAGGTGACCAACTCGGTGCGCAACTGGGAGGTGCTGGTCGGCTCCTCGCACGTTCTCTCGCCCGAAATCTTTCTCAGCGATCTGGGCAGCCTCTCCAAAGAGGATTAGATGCAGTGCAGCAGCAGCGCCTAGAGATTTAAGCATATATAACACAACTCAAGCCCAACTATGCTTAGCCAGCCCTGTAATTTGTTATTCGATATATCTATATCTACATATGCATATATTTCTATATATCTATATGTCTATTTGTTGTCTTTAGTTTCATAAAATTGCGTAGGCGTAGATCTGCGTATGGAACATCTGTTCATTTTGATCAACCTACAGTAGACACACATTATGTGCACCTCTTAACTAACTAGCCCACAAAACGAAAGAACAATACAAAAACAAAAAAGAAACTTATATACTACTTATATACGATATATACATCTATATAAATGTGCGGTCCGATATGTAATGGAAAAGCGTTTACTTCTATAAATAACATTCTATTATCACACACTATATACCCTATAATTGTATAATGGATAATGCGAGAATTCGTAGCACACACATATATACCTATGAAAATATACATCCACACACATATATATATATATATATATATATATATATATACATATGCGTATGTATATTTTTCAACAAAGTATTTATGTGTGTACGAAATGTTTACTAATTATTTATGATAGTTCAATGATAAAAAACAAAACAAAAGCAAAAAACAAATTTAAATACAAATCAATTATGTACCCTGACAACGTTAACAACTCGAATCGAAAGTCGAAGCAAAACTGTTTGTTGTTTATGTGCAACACAATTTGACGAATTAGTGAAATGTAGTTATGCTAAAATTGTAATTCAGTTGTTATATACAAATATATATATATATATATATTAACTCTGCGAGCAGATGCTCAAGAGATCCCACTTTTAAAAGCCACATAACAGAAAAATGTTAAGCATATGTTAAATGAGTTTATCGATTTATCGAAATGTAATTACAATTACTCCACTTTCAATTCGAGCTAGCACCGTAATAAAAAACACACACACACACATACACACACACACACATACATAAGCTTGGCTCAGATACAACGCAGAGCGCGTCGCCGTGGTGGAAACTTGTGCTTTAAATTTTGTAGCGTAACGGCCAGAGAAAGGAAGAGGAGAGATAGAAAAACCATAAATGAAGAACAAACATTGAAAAGCAATATTTAAAAACTTGCAGTTACAGCATAAACATATATATATATATATATAGAGTCTTTCAATTGAAACAAATTTTGTGCGCCTTCCACAACTCGAACTACGTGTATTCCAAGTCAAATGCAAAAAACGAAAAGAAAAACAAAAAAAAAAAAACAAAAAATCGAAACAAAAGAAACTTAAACTTAACATTTTTGAAGAAATACTTTTGAAATAATTGCAACAAGCTTTAAATAACATGTTATACATATACATATATATATATGTGTATATATATATATATATATATAGATACCTTAAACGAAGGCAATGTTAAACGATAACTATTTATACAATACATATACATATACAAAGCATTATATAGATACCAATTACCATATACATATTTATGTATATATATATATATATATATATATATATATATATATATATATACTTATACCAATATACTTAATCCCGCGAATGCGAACGCATTCTTATTGGCAAAGTAGCGACAAATTGCATTTACTCCAGTACAATACAACAATACCGCAATGCTACAATATTTCAATCCAATTACCGTACTATCTGCACCCACACACACACACACACACATGTGCACATGCGTGTGTGTGTGTGTGTGTGTGTGTGTGTGTGTGTGAATGCAATTTTTAACCAAATGCATTTTATTTTTATCAATTCTTTTTTTTTTTGTATGGTTTTGTGTAATTAACAAATATTTATTATTTATAAATAACGCTGGAAAGTATTATATTTTTGTTCTCTTTCTCTTGCTCTTTTTTTTATTTAACTATGAATACTTAACATTTGTTATTGTGTAATAAAATCAAAAACTTACATTTTTTATATGCACTTCTCTATTTTTTTTCTTTGCTCATAAATAATTGTTACATATATACGAAAAGAAAGTAAAACCAAAAGTCAGACAAGTTCTAAAACGTAGCTAAGTAAGTTTAAATTGAAAACTCTCTTCTACAAAAATATTTAATACTTATATATAAATCAAATATTTACAATTAATACAATACATATATTTATGCATTAGCTCTAGTTGGCGCCTAGTCCGATGCCCGCACTTCAGCTCTCCGGTTGGATTGTGGTGCAAGCCAATTTGTTGGCTCGTGGTGAATTGCCAAATTACACCACACTGCCAACACACCAAAGCTTGCTTGCACTACAATACGATTGGGAGAGCGCGCGAAAGTCACGCACACACGCGCACGCACACACTTGCAGGTACGCGCACACGCACACAGTTGGCGCACAACAACCGAAGATCTAGCCAACCACCCCACCAAGCAGGGGGGCATCGACGGCGAATTCGCGCCCAAAAACTCAACAACATCGAGTCGAGAGGATCACACTGGCGAATTGACGGCGATGCTGTGCGCGTGCGCTGGCTGCCTGCTCGTGCGTGCGTGCGCGCGTGCGCGCGCATCAGTGTTGGTAAACGTACGCGTGTGCGCGGCATTTCGGTGAGAAGGCGCCAATAATTGTTCGGAATTCACGTTTAAATGTTTATTGCTTGTGACCAAAAATAACAACAGCAAATTGTTGAATGATTAGAGGCCAGGTTCGTAGTTTAGTTAAACATTTTGTGGCAGAACAAAGCGGCCATTTATCTATATTTAAGCCAGTATTCTAAACATAACATAAATTATATAGAAACTCGAATCCAAACCCGAATCCGAGCACGAGCTCAGCATTTCGGGCAATGCGCGATCAATATGGTTGCGATTCCAGTTCGCATTGCCCGGGGCACGACTCGCGCTCTTTATATATACATATATAAATAAATATTATATATTAATAAATTATCAAGAACGAGAAGAAAAAGAAGAAGAAGAACAGTATAGAACAATTGGAAAATGTTGATTTCTTTTGTAATTTCCTAGCATAATTGTCAAGAATATACGTATAGAACATTTTTCGGAAATTTACATAAGCAAAATCGAAAATTAAATTAACAAATTTATAAACATATACATACGAATATATATATATATATATGTATATATATAGATATCTATATACATGTATATATATATATATAGACAAATAGATATTTTAAAGGTGGATGACAACAATTTAATTACGAGCTCCACTCCAACAAATAATAATTATACATACAATATTTAAGAATTGCCGTCAATTTCTTAAACGTAATTAACGTAATTACAAAATTAATTAACTAGTAGCAGAAAGAAGAAGAGGAAACAAATTAAAGGTTCAACACGAAGTCAAGCACAAAAATTGAAACACAAGTTTTGCCGCCAGGCGCGCACGCTTCCAATAAGAATCGATTAACAAATGGAAAACAAAAATAAACAACAACAAGGACAGACAAAGTATTAGCACATACTAAGTATATACTAAACGGATATATATAAAGCATTAACATATAATTATATTAGCGCACGTTTTAAATAAATTAACCTCAGCTCTGTTAAACGGGCACAGGGTGAGCCACGCGGCTGTGTGCCACCCTGTTGTCCAACAAGAACAAAAATAACAATGTTCAAAAGTGTCACAGTTCAACAATTAACAATGTGTACTTTAATTAACTTCATTCAAACGGAATTATAACAGTGCAACTTATAATAATAATCATCTTTGCATTGCAAAGTTAAAAACAAAAAAACAATATTCTCTTTATGGGTCGCTGGGTTATGTCTGGTTAGAGCTTTCCAATGCTCGTTAGTTTCGTGAATCGAATAGGACTGGGGTGGTCCAATTGGACTGTTAACATGCAGAACACATATAGTCTAATTGCACGGTTGGTTATGTCTTGTTAGAACTAGCAAATTTCCCTTTTTGTAATCAAATAGGAATCTCGCCGTGGACTGATTTTTTACTTAATCTTTGCATTGCAGGACACAACTCTTTACAAATCTTTTGTCTTTTTTTCGGAATCAAATAGGAATTTTGGAAAGACAGTCCAATTGGACATATATAGTCACACGCACCTTCTTTAACTGGTCAGCTGATCATCTTGTTAGAAAATTTCAAATAGGAGTAGCCCAATTGGACCGATTACTTCTATGCATTGGCCTTCTTACTGAGATAACTATTTTTGCATTGCAAGTTAAAAGAACACATACAATCCCAATTGGACTGTCTAGTCAGATAATTATCTTTGTAGACACATCGCTTCATACTTATCTTGTTTATAAATCATATAGGAATTTCAACGCAGTCGGTCCAATTGGACGGTAGACATGTTTACACTGCAAAGGGCTCATCTTGATTGAATCAAACATGAATTTAGTTTCAGGCAGTCCAATTGGATTGTTTACCTACATAATCAATTTGTACATTCATTTTTGATTAGTCGACTGGTTGACTTTGAACTTTCAATTCTCTTGCATTTACATAAAGCAAATAAGAAAATGTATGCACTCCAATTAGACTGTTTACTTAGACTTGCGGCGAGTCCAAGCAGAAATGGACGCAGATTGGGCTCGCAGCTCGAACCAATGCCAGGCCTTTGGGTTTGGTTCTTGGCTATGGTTTTGGTTCGAAACTTGGTTAGTCCGAAAATTGAAGCGTATTTTGAAGCTAATTGAATTTGTGGCACATTTTTCGGAATAAGCAACGTTTCAGAATATTTCACGCAATCTCCGAAATCGGATAAAATATGATTCTCAAATATAACACACACTGAATACACACAAATTGCACTTTACGTTAATTTCATTTAATTTTTCAACTTTATTATTTGCATTTGCTTTAAATAACATTAATTTAATGCATACAATTTGTGTTCTTTTTTTTTCGTCTATTTTTGCTTAAATTTAAGTTTACAATTAAAATATATAAAATTGGTTGTGTGTGTGTGTGTGTGTGTATATAAATTATATAAAAAATATTTATATTAATCGATTTAGTTTTTCGCCAGAATTATTTAATGTAAAGCTATAGATATATATATAAATATATAAATATATATTTATATTTATTTAATTTACAGATAGTTGTTTGTGCACATAAAAGAGGAGGCGCACAATTCTATCTGATCCTACGATATATATATATATTTATATATATACACACACATATATATTTATATTTTGGAAAATATTGTGAATTTAAAGCGTTTCATGTTTTATTTATATTTTGTTTTAAGCATTATTTGTATAACAATTATTTGAAATATTTACAATGCACAGAGAAATGGATATTTTTCTTTTGTTTCTTCTTCTTTGTTGAACTTTAACGATATCGTGTTATACGCACAGATATTGGCACAGCTGTGCTAAATTGTATGACTGTATAACGGTTTAACTGTATGACTG